AAGAATAATTTTTTCCTCTACAATCTTCACTTAGCAATAAGTTAATCTCATTTTAAAACCTACTCTGTGGACATTTACATGAGCTATTGTTACTAAACATACTCAAGGAAACTGTGAAACACTGAACAGACCTATCTGTACGTACTGTGCAAATAAATGCCTATAAACATATGTGCATAACCATTCTTTTGAAAGATAAAACCAAAAACAGATTATCAATGCAGGGTATAGTGATAAAGTAATGAAAGTAGAATGAGTTAATAAAGTAAAAGCCCAGAAAGGAAAGAATCTCTTCCATAAGCAGGTAGAGAGGAATAAAGGAAAAGGGAAAAATGAATCTACCAGGACAGTTTCTTGAACTTTCCTTTCAACTCCTCTTACGTTGAATGGGCCATCCAAGCATAGAGGCAACAGAAAACATGCAAATAAGATGACAATGATAAAATAAAGACAATCACATCTGAACAAAAGAAAATAACATGTGATTATTGAGCTTTCAAAACTGGTTAATGAATACTAGTTTATTACACCAGTTAAAACTCAAGACCTCTTCCATCACCCTAATCTCCTCCATACTAAGAAGGTTAAGTAACTAATGATACATACCTAGCTAGCTATCTGTATCAGATCACAAATTGAAATCTGGGTCTCCTATCATGAAAAACAAACAAACAGGTGGGAGGGTATAGCTCAGTAGTAGGGTGTGTGCTTAGCATGCACGAGGTCCTCAGCTCAACCCACAGAACCTCTATTAGACAGATAGATAGATATAGATAGATAAACCTAATTATACCCCCCAAAAATAAATAAAAACCTGAGTCTTTAGCTTAAGTTCATTTCATTTAAGTTCATCTTAAATCAAAACTACCATATGTGTATGTATAGTCATACACATATCACATATCACATATGTATTTGGTATATATATTTCTGCATATTTCAAAATATAATAAAACATTCTGAATTAAACTTGTAAAATCAAATTAGATATTTAATATTTTAAATGCCAATTTCAACCCACCCTAGAAAGTAATATGAAGAAAAACCTATTTGAAAGAATTTAAGACACAGATTATATAGTTCTTGAGTCCCAAAAAGTAAGGAAGGCTTTTAGAGTTTTCTCTAGTTATTTTGGTTTTTCATGAAAACAACAAACATTTATCTGGGCCTGTGGTAAAACAGACACTGTGGTTAGGCAAGTAACAAAAATGAAGAAAATAAATCCTTGATTATAAGGAGCTACTAGAGGCAGGAGTAATCTAACTCCATCCCACCCTCTTATTGAGGGCCAAAGTTAGTGACATTTCTGTAAGTAAAACACAAGTTGGCTGACTTAAGACAGAAGGTTCTTTCCAGCTGCCTGCAGTTTATTCAGTGTAGTGAATGCTATAAATGATTATTAGGACTAGACACTCAATCAAGCCAAGGGGAAAATGCTACAAAAGGAGGAACTAGTACAGAGAACTCACCTCTTCAGTTGTTGCAAGCCAAGCCTAACCTATATAAACTGGAAGTCCACCAAAGTCTAGTATGACATGTTTCTAATGCTAAACTAAGGAAAGCTTAGTTAATCTGCAGTGGTGCTATTTTTGGTACTCTGTAATTAAAGAATATTTACAGCACAGCTCTATAATGAGCCCTCACTCTATAAAGACACATAGCTTTCCTTATGATTTTCATTCTTTAAATCACAAAGATAAGAAAAACTGTCAAAAAGTAAAATTAAATGCATTTCCTTCTCAGGGGTTTAGTTTATTCATCCATAAATATATCACAATTGTACTTGGAACCACAGAAATTTAAGCCACAAAGCACCAACACACAGAGGTAACAAAGGATAAGCTATTTAGGTATTAGGATGGCACATTAAAATAAAGCCTCAGAGAAAATGTCTCTTCATGCAAAAGAGTATATGTACTTTAAAGTTTTAATACCCAGCATTAACGTTAAGAATAAGGCTCTTGCCCTGCAAAAGATCAGTCACTATGGTAAAACCCTCAAAAAACAAAGGCCGAAAAACTGAAAATCTACCATCCTTATGATTTATTTCAAATTTATACTGAATTAGACATCTAATGGCTTCAGGAATATAGATAATACATCTATTTCAATTTAGCCCTTTATGATATAAAGAGTGATAAATAATAAATGTGCTAAATAATGGAACAATGAAGGAAAAGTGGTAAGACACAATAAAGCACTTACCACTATCAACAGCTTCAACTTCTCGGTCAATTGCATCTCTGATCATTAGTGGATGGATGAAGAACTGGGCCCACCTGAAAAAAAAAAAGTTCAGTAAAAGCTTTTCATCAGTCAACATCTACTAAGTTGGAGATTTAGTTCATATCATGTGTATGTAAAACCTAAACAATATTCCTCATTTCTTTAAAGTCTATAAAACATCCATACAGAGAAGTACATAAAACATGAACATGCAGACTATAAGGTAAACACCTGAGTGGCCATCACTCAGATCAAGAAATAGACCACTGTCAGGACTCTAGGAGCACCTGGCACCCACCCTATCCTCAGAGTTAGTATCATGAGTGTTATGGTAATCACTTCTCTGCTTTTCTTTATAGTTTTACCACACATATGTATTTCTAGACCAGTGTTTCTTGACCTTTTTTTATTATCAACCCTAGGGAGCCTATTCAGAAATTTTCTTCTAATCACTCCCATATGAAATTTTTAGAGATACACAGTCTGTTTATATACTGTATGTGTAGCTGCATTTTTATAAATAAAACATGTATAAAGCATACTCTTTTTAACTTTTTAAGTAAGATTTTAAAGGCTATTAGTAGTTCACATAACTGTATTTGCTATTTAACGTAATTTATTATATAAATTGTGATGCAAATTACAAATACAAACTATCCATTTATATGATTGTAGCAATGCAATCAAGTTTTAAAAAATTAAAATTCATTTTTCCAGCAAAAACAAAACATTGAAAAAATTAATTTCTTACCATATTTAACAAACTTTGAACTTTTGCTTGATCTGAGAAGAAATTTTAACTTAATTAGCTACTAGATACTCATTAATATATTTTTCTTTTCAGTACTTGGTATAACTAATGATGGGCTGAATAACTTTTGTTGAATTAAATGTAATTCTAAAAACCAAACACAAAAGCACAGAGAGGATTAAACATAAACAATATCCACAAGACAGCAAATGGCAACCAATTGACACATGCACACCACCTCTAGTGATGAAAGTGAGATCAAACAATCATTTGAAAATCCAATCATCTATCCACCACAATTTTGTAGCACTGACCTTGTATACTTTGTATATCTTCCATGAACTCAATGTCAGTATAAATGGTGTTCATGTGATATATGAGAACATTCAAAAAGAAATTAAATACTAAGTGAAGATGTTGCAGGTAGTGTTAAGCTTTGGATAGCCACAAACCATTATAGTATCAAACATTTTTTTCACCTTTAAGAACCAATTTTTTAGTACCAAAAGGAACAATATGAATCCCATTGAGAATGCATGTTCTAGAGAATACAGTTTTGTTTCAAACTTCATATAAATGGAAATACAGTATATATATTCTTGATGTCTCATTTAACTCAACACTATGTTTTTAATATTCACTCATGATGGTACATGTGGGCTGATTTCAGGTTTGAACCATTACAAATAATGCTACCATAAACATTCTTATAAATATGTACTGGGGCACATACACACAAGTTTATCTAGATACATGTCTAAGAAAGGAACTCTTAGGTAACAGCATATGCATTGTATGTTCTACATCAAAGTTTTCCAAGGTGATTATATCAATTTACATTTGTATTTTCCTGATTCCTAATGAGGCTGAACATCATTTTATATATTTATTAATAATTTTAGTTTATTATTTTGTAAAATGCCTGTTTAAGGCTTTGTTTCCTATTAGGTTGTATTTTTTCTTATTGATTCTAATAATATATATAATTATCCATTTGTATGTCATACATTATCACATATAAATTGTCACATATAATTACATATATAGGCTATTCTAAATATAAGTCCTTTGTTAGTTGTATGTGTTGCAAATATATTCTTCCACTTTATACATGCTTTTTTCACACTTTTTATGGTACCTTTTGATGACATAAAGTACTATCATTTTCCGTTTATGTTTTGTTCTTGTGCCTTGTTTGATAATACTTACAAGGCTAAAGCCACATTTATCTCTAATACTTTTTAGTTGTACTTTTCACTTTTTGGCTTATAATCCACCTAGAATTGATTTTTTGTGTATGTTGTGAGGTAGGGAGTCAATTTTGCTTTTGTTTTCTCTATAGAAGCTCAACTGCCTTGGCATCATTTAAGAAGACCTTCTACCACTGTTCCATAGTGTCCCTGTTAAAAATCCACATAAGTTTTGGTCTATTTCCAGGAAATATTCTGTTTCATCGTCTGTTTTCCTAGCCCTACTGCTAACACCACAACGTCCCAATGACAAAACAAATCTTAGTATTTTGGAGGTCAGGTCCTGCTACCTTGTTATTTTTCCAACTCAAAAATATCTTGGCTATACCTAGCCCTCTGCATTTCCTTATAAATCTTAGAATTAGCTTGTCTAGTTAAGACTAGATAAATTTTCTGATTATGGTTGTGATATATCACTGATGTATCACCATACATTAAATGGGAGAACTAATGCCACTAAAAAAAAAATTCATGGATAGTATTTCTCTCAATTTATTTAGGACTTTTAAAAATATCTCACAATAAGGTTTTAACATATTCTCCATAAAGAGGTCTGGAATGATTCTTGAGTGCTTGCTTATTTATGTAGCTTTTATAAACTTCTTTTATTTCAAACTGTTACTGATTATTAGCATTTTTAATTTTTATATATCAAGCTATGTTACTAATTTCAGTCATTTTTATTTGTAGATTTTACATTTTGTACATTCACAATCATATATGCTATGACAGTTGTGTATTTTGCTTATTTTTCCTTCTTGCCTTACTAATAGAATGATGAAAAGAAGCGATCATAACCTACATCTGTCTTGTTCCTGATCACAACATGAAGTCTTTCAAGGTTTCACCATTAATATAAGGTTTGGTTTAAAATATCAAATATCATATTGAGAAAGCTGCCATGTACTCTATTGGCTAAGAGCATCTTTATGAATAGATACTGAATTTCATCATGTAATTTTTTCCTGCATATAATGAGGTGTGGTTTTCTCCTTCAATCTGACAGTGTGATGAACAGCACTGATTTTCTGTTAACCCTACCTCATATTTCTAGGATGAACCCAACTCAGTATTGCCATATCAGCCTTATTATATATATGGCTGTTTGTGAGTCTGGTTTGTATTTTTCCTTATATTATACTTTCTCATATCAAGGTTATGTTACCTTCATTAGTGAGGGAGGAATTATTTCTTCCTTCAGTTATTTGTAGAATTCTAAACAAAAGAAGTTTATTTTTGAGAAGATTTTTCATTACTGATTCATTTCTTTAATGATTATGAGATTATGCAAACTTTTAACTTATTTTTCTTACGTGGGTTTTATAAATTATATTACTAAGAATTCATATACTTCACCTAGTTTTTTCATTTACAGACATAGGTTGATCAAAACATTGTATTTTCAATATCTGTCAAATTATGTTATATTCTTTCTCTTTTTCTCATATTCTCTTGACCAGTCTCATGAAAGGTTTATCTATTCTGTCATTTTTTTCAAAGAACCAACATATAGCTTTTTTAAAACTGTTTGTTGTTTCTATTGAGAAATAATTTACATACCATAAAATCTTCCTTTTAAAATGCATAAGTGGATTTTATTACATTCACAGGATTGTACATTACCAACTGTCTAATTTCAGAAAATTTTCATTAACCCAAAAATAAATACTGTACCTATTAACAGTCATTCACCATTCTACCATCCTCCTAGCCCCTGGCAAACACTAACCTACCTTTGGTCTCTATGAATTTGCCTATTCTGGACATTTCATATAAATGGAATCACATTATGGAGACTTTTGTGTCTGGCCCCTTTCACATAGCATATTTTCAAGAGTCATTCATGTTCATCATGTACCAGAATTTCATTCCCTTCTTATTGCCAAGAAATATTCCTGTGTATGGATATGCCACATTTTATTTATCCATTCATCAGTGGATTAACATATAGGTTGTTTCTACTTTTGACCTATTATGAATAATGCTGCATGAATTCACACAAAAGTTTTTGTGTAGACACGGTTTCAATTCTCTAGGGTATGTATACTAAGAGTGGAATTGCTCGGTCATATGTTAACTCTTGAGGAACTTTTTTGTTTTCTAACATAGCTGCACCACCAGCAATGTATGACAGTCCCAATTTATCCACACATTCATCAACAACTGTTAATGTTCCTCTTTTTGAAGTGGTATCTCATTGTAATTTTGATTTTCACTTCACTAGTGACTAATGATGTTAAACATCTTTTCATGTGTTTATTGGCGACCTGCATATCTTCTCTGGAGAAATGTCCTATTCAGGTCCTCTTAAAACTGGGTTATTTGTCTTCTTATTGTTGAGCTGTAGGTGTTCTGTATATATTCTGGATACTAGCACCTCACCAGATATATGATTTTTTAAGTACTTTCTTCCATTCTATGAGTAGTCTTTTCACTTCCTTCATAGGGCACTTTAAAGCAAAAAAGTTTTTAATTTTAATGAAGTCCAATGTATCTGGTTTTTCCTTTGTTGTGTCGGCTTTTGTTACCATATCTGAAAAACTACTGCCAAGTCCAATGTCAAAGAATTAATTATGCCTATGTTTTCCTTAGAGTTTTACAGTTTTTGCTCTTACACTTAAGTATATAACTTAATTTGTTAATATTTGTATATGGTATGAATACAGGGTCCAACTTCATTCTTTCACATGTGGATATCCAGTTGTCCCAGTACTATCATTTGCTGAAAAACTACTCTCTCCTATTGAATTGTCTTGGCATCCTTGCAACTGACCATAAATGTAATGGTTTATTTCTGGAGTCTCGATTCTTTTCCACTGATCTATATATGTTTATGCTTAGTCCAGTACCATGTTGCCTTGATTACCAAAGATTTGAGTAAGTTTTGAACCGAGTGAGTCCTTCAACTTTGTTCTTTCTCAATTTTAGCTATTCTTGGTCTCTTCCTTCCTATATGAATTTTAGAATCAGCTTATCAATTTCATCAAAAAAAGGCAGCTGAATTTTTGATAACAATTAAGTTGAATCTGTAGACCAATTTTGGACATACTGGCATCTTAACAATATTAAGTTGGGGGGAGGGTACAGCTCAGTGGTACAGTGCATGCTTAGTATGCACAAAGTTCTAGGTTCAACTGCCAGTACCTCTATTAATTACTCCTCCCCCCAAAATATATGCACCTTTTTTGTTCAACTTTTTCCTAAGTATTTCATTCTTTTTAATGTTATTGCAAAAAGAATTTTTTCTTAATTTCATTTTTGGATTTTTCATTGCTAGTGTATAAAAATACCATTGATTTTTATACATTGATCTTGATCTTGCAACCTTGTTTTTTTTAATATTTTTTATTGATTTATAATCATTTTACAATGTTGTGTCAAATTCCAGTGTTCAGCACAATTTTTCAGTCATTCATGGACATACACACACTCATTGTCACA